GCGAAGCAGTTCCGGAATCGGGCGAAGCAGTTCCGGAATTGGACGAACTAATTCCGGAATCAGATGAACCAGTTCCGGAATCGGACGGTGTTCATATTTGACCTAATTCCGGAATCGACGGAACTGATTCCGGGGGCGGAACTGGTTCCGGAATGTTAAACATTGCGGAATTGAATGACTGCTCTATCCAAATTCAGTATTAATAAATAGTAAAATTCAATTCAATTCGGATGGTGGTATGAGTTCAATACGAATACCAAAATCTCACTGAATAGATTTAATATTAAATTAAATAAAATAGAATCCAAAGAATAGATTAAAATAAAATAAAACAAAATCCAATGAATATAATACCAATTGCATTAGAAAAATAATTTTATTTCTTTATTTTTAACCCTTTCCAGCCGGATGTTGCCATTTGGCAACATTGAGTTAACATTTCGTGCAGGGCTGATCTGTAATCATCATATTTAATTCTTTAGCACATTGATAATTACGCCAATACATTTCTGAGTAAATCCATAAACGTACAAGATAAATATAACCTTTCACTGAATACAGGGAGGGCTCGGTTTGGGATCCCCCCAAAAAGGGTCGGAATAGAAATTCTGCGTTTTTCTCGTGTCTTAACTATCAATCGAAGAAACAATTAGCGATTAATTTTCTCCTATGGATGTATGATCTATTGAGTTACTCAGATGGATTAGGCAGTTAATTCGAAAAATTGACATGTTGGAATTTTGCTTGTAGGCCACACTCGACCGTTCGGTAACGTGTAGCTTTTTTTGTACCAACGACCACACTTTTAGCATCTCCCTGATAACGGAACTAAGAATTCGCCCAAAAATATTTGTTTTCTACCGGTCTTCTAGTAGCCGGCCGGAACGGGTTAAATTGGTTCTATAAATTTTAAAATTTTTGCATAAGAATAAATCCACTGCTAGTCTCTTATTGAAATGAAACATATAAATAAAATGGAATTAGCACTTAATGTTGAAGTAAAACCAGTAAATAAAAATTAATTTAAAATTAATCTAAATGACATCAATATCAATTTGAATGAAATTAATATCAGCTTGATACTGTAATTAATGAATTGATTTTTATTGGTTTCCTGATTTAATTAATTTAGTTTGTTTCATAATTAAATTAAATAAATTCCATATTGAATTCCGAATTAGATTAAATAAATTCAATAAACTATTTCAGTAAATAAATCTAATAGATTCATATTAGTCTCATAATTAAATTAAATTCAATACCAATAGTAGAGTTATTTGGAATAAAATTTCATAAATATTGTTTTATTACGTTTATGATTAATTTGAATATGTTATTTGTCAGGAAACCTGTTTAGAAATAATGAATGTGGAGACTTGCTTTTGCATGGGATAGAATTCATAAGCATATTTGAGTATAATTCCCTCTACTGAAAGGAGGGTCTTACGAAAAGTGAGTTAAATGCGTTCGTTCGTGTGGGTGTCCGTTCGTTCGTCCAATAGGAAAGCAGACGCATAAACTAAACTAACCTCTAACAATATCTGTAGGCATAGGTTTGACCGAAGGTAATAGGGGGTCGGGGAACACGATGGCGTTGCCAGATTTTTGCAATTTTGCTTTTGTTCTTTTTTTTAGGAGAGAGAGACTTGTTTAGGAAAAAAATAGTTTTTTTTATAAGGGTTGACCGAAGGTAATCGGGGTTGGAGAACACGATGGCGTTGCCAGTTTGTTGAAATTTTGTACTTCAAACAGGTTTATAATGGATTGCGAGCTGTTTAGATCGTCGCATTTTCTTGATAGAAATGCATTGTAGGGAAATTTTTTGAGGATACCATTCGATGATGTTTATAGTGTTAGATGTATCGTATGGTTATGTGAGATATTATTATGAATAGGCTATAGGCATCGTGCGGTTGAATTGATTCTCAATTTGGGAGCGGCAAGCCGTGAGTGGCGCTCCGGAGGGGCGCCGACGAACGACTAGCCGCTCACCTGCACTGAGTGTTTGAAAGCTTTTTTCAAAATCTTCAGTTTATTCTTGATATGTCAACTTTTATTGCAGCACGAAGAATTTATTCAAACTTAACTCCTAGAATTCTAGATTAGTGCATCTATGGACGGACGCAAACTGTTAAGTACTCGGGAATCATGTCTCATTCTTCTGTAAATTGTGATGAATTTATCGCATATGTAGATGTAACTGAATTGAATTAGTCCTACAACTGTTGTTTTCGGGTTTCCTGAAAATTCTCTTTGTCTTCATCTAATAATTATATAATGAAGCGAAGCTTGCAATCAATCATGCAGTGTTTAAAAGGATCACGTTCATCGCATATGTACAACGAAACTAGTGAAGGCGGCTAGCTGTGAGTGGCACCGGCAAACGACTAGCCGCTCAGTTAAAATCTGTTGTGATTATAAGACTACAGGCCTCGCAGAATTATTGAATAGTTACACGTTGTCTCCATCAGAAAAGTTGAAACAGTTTTCGAAACTAGGAGATATCTTGAAGTTCTTCCGAAGACAGGTCGTGAAATATTTGAAATTTATATTTGTCGTAATTATCTGAATAAGTTTAGTTTTTCCTGATTGCGAGTGGATTTGATTCAAAAGATGTAAATCTTAGGTTTATCTATGTGTGAACGTGCACTCAAGAATGAATATATCCATTCTAGACGGGAAAAGCACCGAAACAAAATGAACCCACATGAGGTTGAGCAAAAATTAGGACAAATCTGACCGAAACCGAGTTAGAAAAAGACACTTTGATGTAATCTTTGATCTACTCGTGCAGATTCATGTTAAATATCTAGTTCATAG